GGATTCCTTAACAGTGTGGTTTAATTTACATTGGCCAAACTAAGAGAGCCTTAAAATTTCGCTTCAAGGAACATGAGGCATATGTTAGAGAAAAGGAAACACTGAAGGTCTTCTGTTGCTCAACATTGTTGGTCCTAAAATCACACTTTCAATTTTTCTGCTGCCAAAATTATTCAAAAAATATCTTCCATTGGAGAACTGGATTTTTAGAGACATTTCACATTCAAAAACATCTTTCTGTTCTTGTTAACGATCCTAATTTCTATCCATCTTTGCCTTTGGCCTTTAAGAAATTAGTTTTCGTTCTGGTTTTCACCAACAGATGGCGCCACTTGCTTATTCTGGTCCAGGCTTTCTTATCTTATCTAATCTTTATTTTCTATCTTGTTCATTTGTGGTTTTGCAGCTGAGGATGGTGGTTCGGTAAAACCATCGAAACTAGTCCTGTGAAAATTTGTAAAACTGACGCTGATTTTTGTTGTTTGACTTCTGAATTAATTACTTAGTTATCATTAAATTTCAGTTAATTTCATCAGTTAATCATATCTTAGTTCTATGCGTTTAAAAAGAAAGAAACGATCCGGTATTAAAGTTAAACATAGACAAAAGTAGAAAAACTCCCGTATAACACACCACATACTTCGAATGCGAATGCGCCAAATTATGGTTATCAAAGTACAAAATCCACATTTTTGTAGACAGTTCTATATGTATTCAATGCATTCTGAACATATATTCAGATATTTAAAATCACATTCATAGAAACTTTTTTAAACGTTTTGGACAGTATAGGGCATGCTTAGAAGAGAAATCCAATCTTATCCCAGAGAATTCAATATTATCGTTCGTCACGAATCGTTTATCACGATTAATTTCCAAGGACTATCTTAAGTAACTCGTGTTTCGATTGTAGGGCTCCTGCGTTTTATCTATTAACTAAGTATTGAGGAGCCTAGTGAACAGCTAAGCGAATAATCGCTTAAGTTCAAAAACAGAAACGTAAACTCGAGAAGGATTATCGCTAAAAATAAAGATTAACAGATGGTCCTTTTCTCAAAACGTACAACAAAGCCTTAACTTGATCTTAAACTCAGAAATGTAAGAAATAAGAACTTAACTAATGACTAACTAAAGACATTTAGCTGAAGCTAATATAATTTCTAAACTAATGGCCCGTAATATTAAAATAACTACCGAAGCTATCTAAAGGCACATAATACGGCTGAGCGTATTAACAGTTAGACAGGCGTAGCCAAAAGACGAACGCCTATTTTTCAAGAAATATAATTCTCTCTCTCGAAATCAGTAGAATTTCGACTTAAATACTACTCCTTCTCATTTGCATTTAACGCGATTCTAAAAATTCATCCTGGTAAGGAATTAATTGTAAGCTGAAAATAGAACAGATAGGAAAGTGTTGTAAACTTAAAATAACTGTTACAAAATTAGGATAAACCTTGCGCTATAAGTAATTTTCGCTTAATTAGCATCCATACTCACATCAAAACTGAAAAATATTTAAAATTTATTTTATATTTAAGCTTAAAGAAATGTATTCCCGCAATGCATATAAACCATAAGCATATAAAACATAGCTCCTCGATTCTAGAGATTCAAATGAGTATCACATTTTTTTAATAGTAACTTTATTCAGATATGTGCAAATAAACCTTTGCGTAATTATCTGGAATTATTTACATAAAATGAAATTATCATGTTTTACAAAATTAATGAATTTTGTAGGATCTATGTTGACCCGGTTATCTTATTATTTTGCCTAAACTATACTTTTCTACACTTCGACCAGAATGCTAATTGGTTAATGAACTATATTAATATCAGTGTTCTTTAGTACTCAAGACATTCTTTGGAAATTGTTCATTAAACTAGACAAAACGTTTTCTTAATTTGCAATTTCATTTTCCCCTCATCATGTGCCTTAGCACTTTATTAATTAAAATGTACATATTTAGCATATTTTATGAACAAAATAATTGCCAACGTACTTCTAACAGCTTTACCATAAAATTACCTATATAGTGTGGGCTTTTATTTGTATTGTTATTTTAAGAAACTTGAAGTGCATGCTTGAGCTACACAGTTTCATTTTCTAATTTTTATTTGGAATTATTCGATGATTTAATTTGTATAAAGCTAAGTATGTTTGTTGAAAGTTAATTAACGCACCAAAATACACAGGGTGTATTCAAAATTCGTAACTATCTTTTTTAACGCATCCAATACCTCTCCAGTTTCGCAAAGGATTTTAGTAATAAAGGGTCTAATCTTCCATATATAGGGTAAGTTGGCGCCAAACTATTTTCGCTTTTAAAATTTGGCGAATTTTTTGGCTGCAATGAGAGTACTAAAGATGTAATTTTTAAGCGTAAGCAGAATAGTAACTTTTAACATTTGCAGTAGTGAAACGCCATCATTTTATGTAAAGAGAATAGTAAAATGAGATGATAAAATACTAGATGATTAAAACAAAGTCCATCAGCTTTGCAAGTAAAAGCATAGTCCTATCTACGTAATTTATGATAAAATAGTAATTAAAATAAATTATAAATTGTATAACTTTCCGGATTCCAAACTTGTCACCAAGTAAAATATTCAAATACACTAACAAGGGGATAATAAACTCACTAAATATACAAGTTACTATCGCCGTGAATCAACTCATTAACACTTTCGTGTATCATATCAGTATCAGTATCAATCTGCCTTTAGACAAGAGAAAATGATGGGCTTGGCGAACGCCGTTTCCTCAATTCGTGAGGGTTAAATATTGAAATTAACAAAAACTTTTTACAAATTTTTTATTAAACATATACAAACATCCATGCCTTCTCGGGATTCAACCCGGCCCTTCGGCACGGTAGTCAGCAACGCTAACCACTTACGGTGGGCGGCAATTTTCGTTAAAACTTTAAACATTCCACATCTTTCGAATGCCACAGCAAGAACAAATTAAATAAATATAATACTAATAATAATAATAATAATAATAATAAGAATAATAAATAATAATAATAATACGCACTGACCCGGAAAACATTAAATAAATAAATTAATGAAAACATTCATAAATTATAAACTCCTGCAAATATTAAACAGTAAAACTTTTAAAAACAAGCACAGTATTTCAAAATTAAATTTTAAAAAAAATATTCTAGATACACTAAACACGCACTAATTACAATCACGGAAATAAAGCTCAAGGTTTGCCACAGGAAAACATACAGCCGGAAATCGCAACAAAATCAAAATCGCGCCAAATTAAAAACTCTTGCCAAGTTTGGCGCTCACCCCGATTATGGAAGATTAACAAATAAAACTAAAAATACTTCGTATCCTTGTGAAATCGTGATACGTACCATGGTGGGTGCTGTTGCGAAAATTATTTATTGTTATATAGTTTCCAGTTATAAGAAAGCAAATATGTAACTTTGTAATATTAGTACATAGAAATATTTTAATATAAGTATCTCTAATTTCTACTTTAAAATCCAGCACAATTACAGTTATTATACTTTATTATTAAAAGTGGGAAATTTCTGAAAGAAAGGCTGTATCTTTTTCATTATAGGAAAATACGCGCTGAATAGCTTTTCTGAGAAAAAGTTTTTGTTTTGATTTGTTAACTATGCTATTAGTCACACTTTATTTGCTTTTTATTGATCTGAATTAATGTGGAACGCCTGGAACTAAGAGGAAACCACATTTGAACAGGTTGTTTCTAATTGTTGCTTAGGTTATAGTAATTAAAATTCTTAGGTTAACACTTGTAGTTAAAAATTACTTATTTAAGAGTTTCTTAGTTAAAAGTGCAGAACTGCTTATAGATAAGCAAGGAATATATTTCATGTCAAAAATGTGCTACAGTTTCGGAGCATCTGAAATATTCTATTCTGTACAGAAATAAAAAACATGATTTTGTAATTCATCCTTTATAACCGACGTGTAGCTTCTTTCTGAAATAAGTTACATAGATTTAAATCAAATGTGCTTCATTTCCAACTTCAACCGACAAAAGTTGTATTTGTTTTATGTTAATATTCTATCCAAGAAGCTATGATTAAAATTACATCTAAGTTTTTTTTTTTGAGGTTAGACTTTCAGAGTTTCGATTTTACTAGATTCTTCTGGACTGATGATATCGGTTCTAATTCATATCAAGAAATGAACTTTAGTAGAGTTTTATTTGGACTAAAACCAAGTCCATATTTATTAGCTGCAACTCTGAAATATCATTTTGATAAATGTAAACAAAGAATTTCCTGATCCTTGCAAATTACTGTCAGAATGGTTTTATGTCGACGATTTGATTGGAGGCGAAGAAGACTTGCAAGCGGCTTTGAAAATTACGACTGAAAGTGTAGAAATTCTCAAAAGATGTGGCATGATATTACGAAAATGGAAAACCAATTCCATGGAACTGCGTAAGCTGTGGAAAGATGCTGAGTTCGACATCGATGAGGAAAAGAGCTCAAGTACGGGACTTGACTCACCATCCAAGGTGTTGGGTCTAGTTTGGGATCCAGATGCGGACAGTATATCTTTCAACGTGAAAAAAACTATCAAAGTTTGTCAAGAACGGAACTGCTTCGAAAAGGTTTATTCTTCGAGTAGTGGGTCGTATTTATGATCCTATCGGATTTCTTGGGCCTTTCATCATAAAGCTGAAGTGCATTCTACAAGGAACTGTGGAGTCATGACATAGACTGGGATGATAAACTTCCATCGTCACTGGATCACAAGTGGCAGTTGTGGTGCAGTGAAATCGAACACTTAGAAGATCTCCAGATTCCTAGATGTTATTTTTCAAATTTGAACTGTAAATTTATTTCATTTGAAATTCATTCTTTTTCAGATTCATCTCTTTTAGCCTATGGAACTGTATTGTATTTAAGAGCTATATCTGAATATGGGAGGATAAGTATCAGTTTTATTTGTTCTAAAAGTCGTGTAGCTCCTCTGAAAGGTCTTACATTACCAAGACTGGAATTAATGGGAGCTTTATTGTCCGCAAGATTAGTCCATCAAGTAAGTAAATGTCTTAAATTTAATACTTCTAGTTATTTTTGGACCGACTCGATGATTACATTATGTTGGATTAAGGGACAAGCTAGTAAATACAAAACTTTCGTAAAAAAAAAATAGAATAGAAGAAATTCAATCTTTATCAGATACCAATAATTGGGCTCATTGCCCTGGTAAGGATAACCCTGCAGATATCTTGTCCAGAGGAATTTCTGCAGCAAATTTAGCTACAAACCATCTTTGGTGGCACGGTCCACCGTGGCTAAGCCAATCACCTGAATACTGGCCTACTGAAAGAGAGAACTTAAAATCTACAGACGTAGACTTAGAGCTAAAAAAAGAAGAATTTGAAAGTACAGTGCAAAATAACTGTTTGGTAGAAAATTCGAAATTTATTTTAGATTTAAGGAAATATAGTTGTTTGTTAAAAGTACTAAGAGTAACTGCACTAGTTAAACGGTTTGTTAATAAACTTCAAAAACGACAAACGATTGCAGGTCCCCTCACAGCAGAAGAACTTCAAAATGCTGAAATAGACTGGATAAAACATGAGCAAAACATAGAGTTCAACTTAGAATTACAGAACCTTAAAAATGGTAAATCGATTCCTAAAAACTCTCCACTTTCGAATTTAGCCCCATTTCTCGACAGTTGTGGTGTATTGCGCATAAAAGGAAGGTTAGAACAAGGAGCGTTTACAAAGGATGAAGCTCATCCTATACTTCTTCCTAAGCAGTCTAAATTTACAGAGTTAATTATTATTCGAGAACATAATAAAATTTTTCATGGTGGAGTTACATTTACGCTAGCCAAAATTAGGTCTAGATTTTGGATTCCACGAGGTAGACAAATTATAAAAAGAGTATTAGGTAACTGCCTAATTTGTCGAAAGTATAAGTTGAAACCAGCTAAACAAATAACTAGTCAACTACCTAAATGTAGAATTACTGAAAACCCTCCTTTTACTGTAACTGGCATAGATTTCACTGGCCCAGTTTTAATAAAATCAGGAAAGGATACGCCTCAAAAGGCTTACATAACATTATTTACATGCAGTGTTACTAGAGCTGTGCACATAGAATTAATCACAAATATGTCAACAAAAAATTTTATTTTGTCATTAAGGAGATTTTTAGCTAGGAGAGGAAATTGTAAAGTTATCATTTCCGACAATGCTAAGAGCTTTAGAGCCACTAATGAAATTCTTAAAGAATTTGCAAAAATTATAATAGATTCAAAATTGAAAGATTTCATATCAATAAACGGCATAACTTGGCAATATATTGCGCCTCACGCGCCTTGGTGGGGTGGTTTTTATGAAAGGCTTATGAAAAGTATCAAAGATCCTTTGAGAAAGGTTCTCGGAAGGGCTCTTCTTAACTTTGAGGAAATGATGACTATTCTATCAGAAATTGAGTTAGTTTTAAATCATAGACCTCTTACTTATGTCCATAATGAAATAAAAGAGCCAGAAGCTCTTACACCTGCCCATTTCTTGTTTCCAGGGCAAGAAAATATTTCTTATCCTGTACATTTCGCCGACCTTTTCAGGAATGAACCATTGAACAGGCAGACTTTGACTAGGAGAAAACTGTATCAAACTAATCTTTTGAAACAAATTTGGAAAAAGTGGAAGGAGAATTATCTCCTCGAATTACGGTCTGCGCATACTTTTTTAAATCCATCTCCTGAAAGAATCTTAAAAAGAGTGAGGTTGTATTGCTGGAGGGGTCGACGAAATCAAAATTTTTTATGGCCTATTGGAATTATAGAAGAAGTTTATAAAGGTAGGGATGGGTATGTGCGTTCATGTTTGATTCGTACTTCAAGGACTTTATCGAAGACCCGTCCAATTAATCTATCCTTTTGAAGTTTAAAGTTATATATATATGTTTGTTTCATGTATTGTATTTAATTTGCAATGTAGTTTTCAGTATTAATTTGTGCATATTGATTTTGATTATATCTAAATATATATTATTGATATGTAAATTTAATGTGCTCTTAAAAGAGCACAGGTGGGGTGTGTTGGAACTTTTCATAGTATAGAGGGCGCTGTTGCGCCAAAAGAATTCTGTGTTTTTTACATTATGTAACTGTGGTTCGCCATTGCGATGTATGTGTATTGCTGTGATATATTTTGGTGCTTTCATTAAATATAAATGAAAGATATCGTCATGAATATTTTGTATCCAAATCAAGATCAAATTTACCACTGATGCAAATTCGTCGAAAACAAAATTAGCGTTCGAACAAGAATCGTCAAGTTATTACTAGCCTTTCGAACTACGCATTAGATATCGTTATTCGCTTCGTAACAAATAATTTCATTACTCTCAAACTATGCACATGGGAAGTTTATAAAACCAAAATCATCATTTCTATTATGGGAAAGAGACAGACGTAAAAGCTATGCCACTAAGTAACAATACTGTTAGCAGAAGAATAGATGAAATGACTGAGTATACTGAAATCCAACTTGTTGGAAAGCTGAAAACAAGAAAATTTTACATGCAAATGGATGAATCAATATTGAGAGACAGTGAGGTCGTACTTATAACCTACGTAAAATATACTGATAAGGGTGATTTTGCCGTAGAAATGTTGTTCTGTAAATCATTGGAAAGCACCACTAACTCCAAAGATATTTACAGTAAGCTAAAAAATTGCTTAAATGTAAAAAATAAACCAACAAAAATGTAATATCTTGAGCTGCAGATGGTGCTTCTAATAGGATTTGGAAGAAAAAGGTTTGCTCAAAACTGATGAAAGATGAGAATCCAGAATGTTTCTGGTGCATTATGTTATTCATAGGGAAAACATGGTAGCTAAAAACATTTGGCCTGTTCTTAGCGAAGTACTAAATTCAGTTATAAAGTGTATCTATGGTATTAAAGCTAGTGCCAAATGCGAACGTCTCTTCAAGTTACTTTGTGAAGAGCAAAATGAAAACTATATGAGACTTATTACTTCATATTGAACGATGTCTGTCGAAGGCATTTCTGAGTTATTTAGCCAATATTTTTGAAAAATTAAATATATTAAATAAACAACTTAAAGGAGCAAATAAAATTCTTGTCGATGTAAAAGCGAAGATATTTGGTTTCATTACCTTTAATTATGTCAGGTATATCTTTACAACAAAAATTTTGAAAAGTTTCATTGGATCCAAAAATGTGAAGTGACTGATACCGCTATACATGTTACTGTCGATCATCTGGCAATTTTATGGGCAATTTTATGAGTTTATTTAAAAGAAAGATTGATTTGAAACAAATTCACTTCCCAACCTGGATGATGCAGCCAATGTTAGTCGATTTGGCTGATATTTCAAATATGCAGTATCAAGAAGAACTCGCAGAAATGCATAATGATAAGTCAATTAAAACTTTATCTCTACATATAATAAAAGGAAGTCTGTGTGTTATGTCTTTCGTTCGTGCTGCGCGTAAGCTAATCGACCCAGGGCTCCGAAATTTACTACATGGGTATCTAGACAAGGGCCAGTGCACCTTGAAGCGATTTTTTCAAAATTCAAATGAGGTCAAATCCATAATTCTCTCTTATTATATCAGAAACAATGGCACGCAGCCACTGATGCTGATATATCCACTGTTGCTATTGTTGCTGATATCAGCACTGTTGCCACTCGGAAAAATGAGGGCGATAATTCTCTGCAGTTTTTAAATTTAATACATTGGATATTCGACGTTTGTCGAGAGGTGCTTGGATACGACGTTTGTTTTCGGGTACGTTTAAAAGCCAGACGAAAGCTGGCCGAATATCGGCTCGTTTAATCTAAAAGGAGCAATGGCATGGTTTGTAAGCAATCCGAAATCAAATATCCAAATGCAACAAAATGTGCAAGACAACTATTGTTACCGTTTCCATCTTCCTACTTAGCTGAATGCGGATTTAGTGCCATAAATGATTTGCTGCTAAAAAAAAGAGAAAAAAAAGGAGAGAGAGAGAGAGAGAGAAATCGGCTGGATATAATAAAATGGGGAGACTTGAGACCGATGCTAACTAAATTGGAACCTGACATAAAATTTCTTTGCAGAAAACATCAAGTACAAGGGATCTCCCCAAATTTAAATAATAAATAATTACTAATACTTAAAATAATACAGAAAAAACGTTCCTTAAAATTATTTTGTGCTTGAATTTCAATTCTCCATTATTTTGAAAGTTTACTTATTGGGTTTTCTCACAAAATTTCCTAGAAATTTCTTCCTAAAACCTATCATTCAAGTCCTTCTCCTATTTTCTTCTTTCTATGTATTTCTTTCTCCTGATGAGGAGGGACCTTTAGCTGCCCTCGAAATTGATTGAGTGTTTTATTATACCTACGCTAAATACAAGGTTGTTTTTTACGATTTTGACTGGTAGTTCGGTTCGAGGTTCGAATCCCGCGAACGGGCTGGCTGCAAGGTTGGTTTCGTGGTTTTCCCCATGTGTAACGTGTATACGAGCCAGTTTCCCTCAGAAAGTCCTCCACGAAGGCATCTCTCCCCTTAGGCAGATAGCCCTAGTGTGCTTTGCCATAATTAAATGCACAATACACTAACCGGAGCACACCGGAACCCTTAAATAAGAAGGTCATGGGACTTCTTTTATATACCTAAAGCAAAATTTCAGCAGAAAATTCTTTGAATTTTATTTAATAATACGCCAGTATTAAAAACTGGTTGTAACTGAATGTATGCCCGTCTATCTGTGGAAAACTAGCCCTTTGATGGTTAAGAATAGAAAAAACCACACCCCATGTCAAAGGGTTTTTTTTTTTTTTTTTCCTTCCCTTTCCCTCCAGGAAGTGCAATGAATTTATTAGAGCAGGTTTTTAGTTCCCGAAAATATTAGAAGTGGAACTTTTGGAAGGATGTAATTAAATGAGGGGGACGAAAATTGTCACTTGCAAAGAACCTTACTTTTGTTTGTCACTATTAGTTTACAACTCGGATTTCGGAGGGTAATTCGGCCCAAGGCCCAAGGTGTTTGTCTTC